GTGGAAGACGGTGAAAAAGGTCGGGCGCATTTTCGCGGCGCATCGATTACGGTATTCGGTAATTTTGTGCTCCGTCGGAGCGAGCTGAAAAAATATCGCCGCGCGTTATTTCGGCGCCGTCGATTCCCATGGTGAAGGCCAGCTCGACCATAAATGGAGTTGAGGAAAGAGAGAGAGAGAGAGAGAGAGAGAGAGAGAGAAGAGAGAGAGAGAGAGAGAGAGAAATATGATTGTATCCCCGAACTGCATTTGAAGTCTGATTTGTTATTGACGAGAAGAGGATTTGTCGAGCATATTTTTAAAAAAATCAATAAATCGGGAGAGATATGTGAAAATACCATCAAAAATAACGTGTGTGCTGTATAATATATGTTAAAAGTAATAAAAGGGTAATATAATAAAAAGAGGATAAATACCGTTCTTTATTTACAAAAAGGGGATGAGAACCACAGTCTTTTATCTTTCGTATCTTGTCAACAACGAGGATTTAGTGGTGCCCGAATTTGGTAGAATTTTCCATGCTGGAAATTTGTGTTTACCCAACGGAGAGAGGTTTGTCAAAGCTAGGGAGAAACGTGTCCGCGAGCTTGGAGAAGGGTCGCTAACAAAAGGAAGGGTGAGAATGGGAGGTAAGGATCAAATTCGCCGTTCGATTTGCGACTGATCGATCGTGACGCTCTGTAATTCTACTCTTCGTTAAAGCGGCCTCGTATTAACGAGGAAAGAGAGAAAAAATTCGGTTTTTTAATACGCGCATTTCTCGCATCGCTGTAACGTTATTATATGTTCAAAAAGAAAATATTAACAACAAAATATATCTTTTGTTTTCTTTTTTTTAATATATATATATTATATACATATATATTATATTATATAATTGGTTTAAATAACAGAAGTGAAAGATTGATGTTAACAAGTTAATTAAATAGTACATTTCACGCGAACAAAATATGATTTTATCTCTTTTCTTAGTCGCACTGTTACAGGTTATTATTACATTGTAAGCTAAGGACGAAGTCTCCTTCGACTCTGATACCCTCGAAGGATCGATTAGGTCGGATTCGAATGACATTAAAGTACAATTCCCAAGTACAATTCCCCATCGTTGTGTGCTCCTTCCACTCTCAAAGGAATAAAAGCGAATCGAAGTTAATTGAATTAGCTGATGCTTTAGCAGAAATATCGTTGGAGATATTTTCGCAATTTAAAGAAAAGATAATTATATAATTGTTCGTAACAATGTTCATTTGTTCATATACATTTTATTATAAAATACACCGTATAATTTATGAAAGCTCATGGCGCTTGATTATATTTTATAATTTTCAAGAATGTTTCTAATTTAATTTTTAAAAATATTCATAACACTTTTAACTTGGAACATTTTTACAAGAACATTTATAAGATTATAATGGAAGAGCCTAGAACGTGTTTTATATATCCCATCTCAATTCTTCCTTATGTATTTTTGATCGATATCTAGCAATTGTATCGATGAATTTACCTAGCCGCTAACTTACTTTCGCGATCGCGAGGCTGAATTGGGAAGGGGCTGTTCTCGATACTCACCCACTCGATTTCAAGCCTTTGTAAGTCGCGCTGTAAGTCGAGAATGAAGGTACCAAAGACTGCTCGCCTTTACCCCGCCTGAAGAGCCAGGAATAAGAGGGCGAAGGAGCCTCTCCGAGCGCGCTTGAGAAGACGGAAGAGTCTCGGCTTCGAGGAACTTTGAGGAACAATCGCGCACTAGATATCGCAATTTTTATTTCAGTTGTTGTATTCTCTCGCACAACGCTTCGATATCTCCAAGTTTATTACGTTATTGGATTAGGTCCGACAAGTTCTATGTTCCGAAGCATTTGTGAAATAAAAACAAGCGCGGCTTAAAACCGTTCTTGTAACTTCGGAGGAGAAAGTATATCATCAAAACATCTGTGTGAATGTTGATTCTCATGCTTTTTATTGCTTTTCTGGTTATTAATTTGATTACCGATAGATCGGTTTCTCAGTGTGTTTTCTAAACTAATTGACCATCATCGTATCTATCCGTATAGTTGGACAGCCCATGTTTCCGGTTGATTGGAGAGGATCAATGAAAAGATTGAAGGAAATTCTCATCCTTGCGGCTTTGTGCAGCGTCCCGTAAATTGACAAGAAAGATATTGAAAGCTATGTTACTAGTTAATAGCTACAGGCTAGTAGTTAGTAACCATAAAATAATATTTAAATTCAAATATTTCGATACGAAATAATTTTTAGATTCGAAATACTTTTCAGAAACATTTCTACCTTCGCTCTTTCTCTTTCTCTCTTATTTCGTTTCCTGTCTATTCTCTTTGATCACGTCACCCCCTTGTTTCCCAATAATTAAACGGGGGTTCGGGTCGATGTTAATTAAATTATCCCCATTAAATTATCGTCATATTTGACACATGATGTGACGGTTTTCCGACAATGAGAGATACGCTATCATAATCGATATAGTTGATCAACTATTCATTAATATTATTCGTAAGTATCACGATGTAATCATATAATAATTATTCTAAAATTTCGGTTATTTGCATTTTAATTATTTAATTATTATTTATAATATGCAAGAATAGAATCGCAAAGTTAATGTAATCTGCACGATAAAAATCGATTAGAAAATTCCAGCTTACACATTATAAGAGAAACGTTTTAGAAATTGTCAGCGATAAACGCATCCGTATCATCGCGCATATTAACAAAGAACATTTCAGAATTCCAATTTAAGTTTTTAAGTTAATGCGTACGTTTCAACTGTCGCAAATGTATTATTCCGCTGATAACAGTCATAACATTTAAAATGACGATTCGCCGTCTCGAATGGATGCTCTCAGCGTCGTTTAGCTCTTCGTCTCTCGCCTCGTTTCCATTTCGCCAGCGGGAAGTATTTCTTCCCATTTCGCCCTCGAGAGCATTTCCTCTCGCTGGAATGGTGGTAACAATTAACGAAATAGCGCTCGAATCGGCACGACCACTGAATTTAATCGCGACATTATCGTAACGGTTTTATCGTGATCGAAGACGTCATTTAACCCTTCTTAAGGAACTTTTAGAAGGATTCACGCTCGGTATGTATTTTTCAAGAACTTTTATCGGCATTGATACGAGAACCGGATCTTGCGAAAATAAGATGGTATATAAAATATTAAATTTTTTCATCCAAAGGAAAACCGTCCGTTGAAAAGTTAAAACGCGTGTCTTCCCGCGCCCTCGTGTACTATCCTGTAGTACGACTTTTTTTCATTTTTAGTCCTCATTTCCATTTCGAAGCGATGGAAAAAGAAGCGTATTCCATCGTTTCCCATTTGATATTTACTGCCGGCCGCGAGACGCCGGCGCAATTTTAAAGGAGCGCCTTTAAAGGCGCCTTCCCTCGCGCACGCCTAAAGGGAGGAAAGCCGGCGGTTTACCGGGGGCTATTTTCAACCCTCCGGGTTCGACAATTCGCATCCCGATGAAAACGTTGCCGACTAAACGAGCTCGCGATTCCGAGGACGAGCGCGAAATAAGGAAAGAGTGAACGAACGCGAACGGATGAAAGTATGAATCTTCCGTGTCGCGCGCTATCGCTTTTTTTCATGTCTTCTCACATTTTTCCGTGCGCATTTTTCTTGCTTTGCCATTTATTATGCGAATTTGCATTTACATCAAATATGCACAGAAGTAGGAAGCAGCTCGGTAATAATTTGCGAGCGCGCATTGGAAAGAACGTGATCTGACAAAATGATTGTAATTTCGATTTACGTTTACATATAGGATGATTCTGGATTCGGAAAATCTCAGCGCTCCTATAATCATATAATATATAATATAAACGTAATATAAGTATATAATATAAACATGTAAACACACATGTATATAAAATTTAATCGGAATTACGATACGTTCAATACGTTTATTGGATCAAATTTTGCATAAACTGTCAACTTATGCGCATGTCAATTTTCGCTTATACGGAATTTTGTCCAATTACGCAACGATCGCGATTAAACTTAAACAGAAAATTGCAAATAAGTAGAAATGCCCATTCTGTCGATAAAGTTGAAATTATATTCAACACGTGATATTACGTGAACTGTCGAGCCGGTGCGTCAAGATCGTATCCGCGTGGTTTGCGTTTTTCAACGTCACTCCCGGCAGCGATTTTAAAGACGTAGGGAAGAAAAAAAATTGCAACTCACGCGGTGGCTTCGACGAGGGTCAGTTGATATTGGATTCGAAACGTACGGGATCGGCAATATCCTTCAGGCCTCTCCCCTTTGCATTCCACGACGGAGAAAGGCTTCCTCTCACCGGGCATCTCCGGGATAAAGCCACGAGAGAGGAGTGGAAGGTTTGCATGCCACGCTGCACGAGCGCGCTCGATATTCCGATATCCTGATATCGGGAGTGTTTCTCCTCACGACATCTCCTCGCCTCCTCTCCGGGATATACACCCTCTTCATAGAATTTATTATCCGCTCTCAACCTGCGCTCTGTGCACCCTCGCCACCCTCCCTCTCCCCTCACCGCGCTGAAAACCCACCAGGAGATCACCTTACCGAGGATTCGGCAGTTTCCATGCTACGATGGTAACTATTTTTCCGCGGGACATTCCAGACTGAGCCAGCCGAGGATCTCTAATAGTCCTTTCGTTCACGGGAAAATGTTCCTCGGGAGCGAAATCCCGTAATCGATTGTCCTCGGTACTACAAAGCTGATAAAAATTTTACGCGCAAAAATGGCTGTAAAATGGCTCCTAAAACAACTCGCGAGATGCGTCACGACTACGAGTACCATTAAAGTCGAAATATCCAGGACCCGTCGGTTCTAAGTTAATTTTTGAATTAACGGGGGATTATTTAGTTTCCTATCCTTGTTGAGTTTTTCGCGAATTATTCCGGGCTCGAGATTGTCTACCTGTAACCATTTATCACATCGTAATCCAAAGTGCGCCATAATTCATCGGTTCGTTCATCTTATTGTTGCAGAGATCCGCCTCTCGGTATTTCGCGAGCTGATGACCTCGCAGGCAGTCGCGCGCTCACCTCCGCATCGATTCGATCGAAGCACCGCAGTCTCCCTTCGACAACGCTGAAGGGTCAACGCGTGCGGTGGTGGTGGTGGATCAGCGAAAAATGCGATAGGAACGGAGGGATACCACCGCGCGAAAGAACGAGGAAGAAAACGGGTGGGTTTATCGTCCGATGAGAGAGCATCATGTGTTCGATCGTACCGGTCTGGCGGCGAAGAGTTGCCCTCCTCGGCACGATGTTGCTGCTGCTGTTGTCTTGGGGAATAGGCGCAGCGGAAGGCTGCCCAACTATGTGCGCGTGTAAATGGAAGGGCGGCAAAGAATGGGTGGAGTGCGCGAACCGCGGCCTCAAGGGATTGCCACAGGGCGCGCGAGAGGAAACGCAAGTGCTCGACCTGTCGGGTAATCATCTGGTCAACCTGCCAACGGAATGCTTTCGCGCCCTCGGTTTGATTAACCTCCAGCGGCTCTACCTGGGAAAATCACAAATCAGTCGCATCGCTTCTGAAGCATTCGCCGGACTGGTTGGCCTGGTGGAGCTCGATCTGTCGGAGAACAAGATCGAAGAAGTGCCCACGGACACATTTGCATCTTATCCAAGTTTGATGAGGCTTATACTTAACGGGAATCCGATTAGAGAGATCCGTCAAGGCGCGTTTCTCCGTCTGGTGCACCTGACCAACTTAGAGATTAGCAGGTGCGCGATAGAGGTCATCGAGCAAGGCGCTTTTGAAGGCTTACAGTCATTGGAGTGGCTTCGATTGGACGGCAATCAATTTTCCTACGTGCCCGATCACACTTTGCCTCTGGGAGGAAATCTTAGGGGATTGACTCTTCACAATAATCCGTGGCAATGCAACTGTAGGTTGAGAATAATGCAGGCCTGGCTGAAGGAATCGGCTCCGGCGGCTCCGCAAGAGTCTGAACCCGTTTGCGATTCCCCGGCGAGACTGCACGGCAAACAAATCAAGAGTCTCAAGGTCAACGAATTAGCCTGCCTACCGCGTATCGATCTCCAGGATCATTTGGAAATCTACGAGGGCGGGAATGTCACTCTGAGATGCGACGTTCACGCGGTACCGACTGCCAAGATCACCTGGTGGTTCAACGGAGAACCCTGCGAGCTGCAGCATGAAAATAATTCCCTGACCAGCGGTATTTCTACATTTCCAAGGTAAGCGAAAGGAAAGCGTTCTCAATTCTTTTTATCTCAAGGAAAATATCTCTATTTACTTTGTTTCGAACCGCATTTCTTTGGATTTGTTGTAGATATATATATCGGCAACGTGGCGGGACCAACATGAGCAGCACGCTATTTCTCTACTCGGTCGAATCGCTCGACGAGGGCATGTACAGCTGCATCGCGGAGAACAGCGCGGGTTCCGCGGTAGCAAATCTCTCTCTCCGCGTACTCTTCCGCGAGAAATCCACCGTGGAGCCGCCCTCCGATAATCCCGGTTCCGGCTACATGGCCGCGATTGTCGCGGGCGCTCTGGTGGGCACTCTCTTGGCGCTGAGCTGCCTGGTGGGCAGCGTGATATACTGCGCGAGGAAACGACGTCGCGACCGAAAGCGCAATTCGAAGGCATTGGTGACGCAGAGCAAGTCGGTACTGCCAATCACAAAGGATACTACCAGCGGCTCCTGCCGGAAGGGCAACGGTAGCCTGATCGGTAGCCTCGAGCACCAGCAGATGGTCTCGTACACCGAGCGTGAGATAAATCGTGCGGCCACTCTGGAGCGCCGGGAACATACCAGGAATAATCATCTAGATCGGGACGCGTATCCAGTGGCAAGTCCCGTCGCTAAGTACCTTACCGAACCAGATCTAATCAACGAGGTACCCGAGAGCACCGAGGTGGGCTACGGTCAGCTGTACGGCCGACATCATCAGCGTGCTGGTGGCGCCGACCGGCAGATTTTAGAATACGACTCGGGCTATCCGCTGCAGCCCGATTTGCGGCCGCCGCCGGTTCTGCCGCAGCTGAGCTACCTGGATCAAGATGGCTATCCGCTCAATTTCGGCCTGCCTAAGATCACTTTCAGCACCGCCAGTACTTTGCCCAGGCTCCGGCAACGTATGACGGAGCCGGGCTCAGCCGCCGCGCCGGCGGCCAGATACTCGCGCGAGGCGGAGTTTCTCGCGAGATCACCGGGATACGATCCGATTCTACCGCGTACCGACGCCAGGTACACCGCCGAAGGTTATCCTTATCCGATACATCAGCATCAGCATCAGCATCAGCATCAACTTCAGCAGCAACAACAGCAACCGCAGCCGCAGGCGATACAATCGCCGCCGTCAATTCAACCAGTCGAGCAACCAATTCAGCAACAACTGCCTATTCAATCGCCAATCTCGCCGGTTGCTGTCTTCCCGGAAGTACCATTTATACCATCACCCCCCGCGGCTTACAGAGGCGAAACCACACCGCTGTCACCGCGATCCCTCCTCGGCAAGACCGCTCGCGAGGCCGCGGCCGCGGCTGCTGCGAGAGCGGAGGAGCTTCAACCGCCGAATCACCCGGAGAGTCCCGACGAAGGCTACGTGGGAGACGCTATGGATGTCTGAAAGAATCCGAATCGGTAACGATGAGAGGATTAATCAAGTCTGAGAACCGCAGAAAACATCCTGGATTTACCGTGAATAAGATCGCCGTATCGTTCGCTTCTCGCGAGTCTATTCGGCCTTTATTTATTGCGGACTCACTTGAAAAAAGTTTCTTTGCCGAAAATGCTAAAAATTTCTGAAGGAAATGTTTCAATGATAGAGTGCACATGAAGTATATATATATATATATATATATATATATATATATACATAATAAATTTATTATTTATTTAATATATTAATCTTTGTCAAAAAATTTTATTTCAGGATAACGAGTTAATTTTAAAATGATTTTATGTTGCACGAATATTCGAATGTTTTTGAATTACTTAAATCATTTTGCATATATTAATTTGAATAGACATGTTTATCGTCTTTATGCATAAAATTTCTTATATGCCTGTGACGAAATTATAAGTCAAAACAAAAGCCTTATTCTTACTCTTTTTGCTCAATATATTGATTCAACAAACAGAAGAATGATGTTCATATTTGCATAGAAATTTTTGAATACTTTTTATCATCTCCTTCCAAGCTTGAAGATTTAAACGAACAACGGGTTATCAGCATCAAGGAGGAAATCTGTCCTCGTCACGCTACCAGATTAATTCACGGAGAATAACAGGGTCCAGGATGTGATTGGCGGAACAGGGCCGCCCGAGACAGCGCGAACAAAGGACTCGTCCTGATGGTGGAGACGTAATAGATTAATCAGAAGGCATGTCTCGAATGTCGCTGTGGTGCGCGGTCCTCAGAAATCGGGGAGAGCGACAGAGATGTTCGCTGGAATGCGATGATCTTCGCGTTCGCGTATTCGAAGGAAATCGACTCCGAAAAATTTACACGAATCGCGTTTAAATGCGGAGAGTGCTTTTTCGGACACCAAGATGGCGGCCGGATTTATTTAAACGGCGTGTCGTGCTTGTGAAATACGACGACGTTCTTTGGACGCGGTCCAAGGAGAAACGACGTTCGGTCGCGTTGAAAAGGAACCAAGATGGCGTGACTGATCTTTAAAGTGATAGATAAATGTTTGGCGGACTCGATCGAGTGAAACGCGTCTCATGGACCCTGGAAGGCGCGCTTTCAGCGTCGCGAGTAAAAACGTGACTGGTGCTCAAAGCGGCCCCTCCGACGGGATCCGTTAAGATGCGAATTTAATTAAATTTAATTGTTCATGTTGACCCCGCGACCAACAAAGATCGCGATAAATTGACTGTGGGACGAGCGAGTCGATATGGATATAAAATGATAATAAAAGGAGAGAGAGAAACTGTCCTTTTTAATCATTATATATTACGGATATTTAAGGACTTTATATATTATTTGTTGCGTCTACGATACAATTTCTAAAAATTGTTTTGAAGAATTTTGAATAAATTATTTTTCCCTCGAAAAAAAAATGTATAAAATCTATTGGTATTTTTTTGAACGTATTATGGAAATGATACATTTATTTCGATTATTCTTAGTGGTTCTGAGATTATTCTGATATATTGTTTGGCAATATCTATTGAACAGCATTATACTCCACACGTAATACGTGATACGGAATATTCGTGATTCAGAAATCTGCTCAAGTCATTTTTGCACTCTCCCGATAACACTTTTGTTTTGAACTTGTAAAATAAATATCGGTTATTTCTATTGAGAACTCGTGGCGTTTCAAGCGGAAACGCAATGTAGCGATTCTGCTGTAGTGATAATAATGTTAACTTGGTGTTTAAGACTGGCGAACTGTGCGAGATTAGAAGGCCGCAATGGCACTCGACCTGATGTACAGAGAGACCGTTGAACATGCAGGATATTCCGAAAATGGTATATACTCCAAAATTAGAATGAGGAATGTCAAAAATAAATTTACTTTGAAAAGAATTTATTAATCTTCTATTAATAATATTTAATAATATTTTTTAATTAATAATATTTTTTTTCGTCAAAAGTTAGAAAAATTAATATTTCAGGAAACATGAAATTAAAATTCTAATATCGCATTTTATTGTATTATATTTAGAAATAAAAACTTTTGTTTACTTATATATATATATATATATATAT